TTTACGTTTTTACGTTTTTTTTAACGTAACGTTTAACGTACGTACGTACGTACGTAGTGTCGTAGTGTGTCGCTGCGCGTTTTTTTTTTTTTTTTTTTTTTTTAAAAGAGCAAAACTGCCCAAAGGTAAGGCTAGTGCGGCCCTGTTTTTCTTTTATTTTTTTCTTTTGTTTGAGGACAAGCTGGCCCTGTTTGGGCCGGCCCTATTGGTAGATCGGACATGTACCGGCCCGACCCTCCTTGTTTTCCTTTCATTTTTCATTTTTATTTATTTTAGGGCTGACCAGGCCGAGCAGAGCCGGGCTGGGCCAGGTTGGTTCAAATATTGCCGCAATCAAGAATGTAAGTCTAATCCAGGCCCACTTATCATAGAGAGAATCAAAGCGGGCAGACATGATGACTATTCATCTCCGTACACATTACCATGCTTTTTTCATGTCAACAAATCCAAAGCATCGGCTTATTGTGCACGGCTTACAAAACTCTTCAAATTCACGAAAAAAAAAAAAGCCCGTAAAATTGTAATCAAATATAAAAAAAAAAACCAAAATATATGACATTAAACATTAGACATTTTTGCTACATCTTTTGATTTAATTTAAAAACAGCCATCTAAATACAAGTTAGAATAGTTAAAAAAAAGGTTAATTCTTAAAATATTAAAAGGTCAGGTGTATTTTGATAAATTGTCAAAACATCCAAGAAATTCAGAGAGAAGATACCAAGTGAGGAGAATAGAAAGAAACCCATGAAACCAATTTTAGAGAGACAGAGAGAGGGAAGGAAAAGCATTAGAAAAAGCAGAAATCGCCATGACTGTCAAAACTTAAAAGTTGAGATAGAGATCACATCGACGCATAACGTGAAGAAACTTGTTGCAGAGAGTCAAAATTAGTAAAAAGCAGGAAATAAAAACAGAGGAATAGTCAATGAAAAGGGAAACTAAAAGAAAAACAACCAATTTATACCGCAGATTCAAGACAGAGAAAGAAGTAGCGCCTTAAAAATCACAGAGATTCAATAGAGAGAGAGAGAGAGAAGAAACGCCTTCAAAATGAGTGAGAGAGGAATCTAAGAGAGAGACGACAGATAAAACAGATATGAGAAACACTTTAGTAGCCAGAGAGAGGACGCAGAAAAGAGGGGGAAAGGGGGGTATTATATACAAGTGGCTAGGGTTTCGTAAGGATAAGAAGACCCCTCGTATTCTTAAAAATTACAAAAATGTCCTTCCAATTAGAAAGAGAGACCAAAAAAGCCCCAAGGAAATCATGGTCCAAGGGGTTCATCACGGTCCATTGGAAATGGTGGTGGTGAGGCGTGTACCCAACACTGGGTTTTTACGTATTCGTGGTTTGGGAATTTTATAAAAAATAGCGTTTCCAGTTGAACTGTTCAACATTTTATTTGGTTGCAATTAGTTCATTTCAATTGGAAAGCACTACACAACGCTTATAAAATAAACGGTAATTTCGTTTATGCTCATCACCGTCCAAAGTTTATCGTACGATCATAATTGTTCAGAAGTATTTCAATTTTTATTTTTTTTATAAATCGGAATGATTTGAAATTTGAAGCACGTGTTCATAAAAAATAGAATAATCTAATAAAAATATAAAAAAAATAATTCGTAAAATATAAATTGATCAAAATACCTCTAAAAATTTACGATGGTATTTTGGTCAATTTATATTTTGTGAAATAGTTTTTTCATATTTTTATTCGGTACACCTCACTGAGACGACGTACACACGCTCTAAATTTCAGATCATTCCAATTTATACAAAAAAAAATGAAAAATGAAACACTACTAGACAATCGTGACCGTGCGATGAACTTTAGACGATAATGAGCATAGGTGAAATCATTGTTTATTTTCGTCTATAGGCGTTGGAAAGACTTTTCCATTTCAATTTATGATAATATGCCCTTTGATGGGAATGCAAAGAGGCCATTTACTTTAGGTATAGATAGGTCACAAGTACTTTTGTCCATCGACTTTCAAATCCAGTGGTTACGAGAGTATTGTTGACTAGATTCAAAGTTCAAAAACTTTATTACGAACTTCATGATATATCTCAAACTGGCCAATTTGACACCTAATGGCTGTTAATAATTGTGACCTTCTTGCACTAAAAATAAATGTTATCCAAATATACAATCTCTTTGAAAGAAAAAATATACAAAGAGACCATTTACTTCACGTATAATTAAATCACAACTACTCTTGTCCATCGGCTTTCAATCCAAGTGGTTATAAGAGTTTCATTAACTAGATTCAAAGTTC